AACTTGCATTCCAATCTAGGGTGCTCCAATAATTTTTTTTCTTGAAGCATCCATGTTCAACAAACCAAATTGAAGGTAACATAGTATACAAGAAAAAAATTATTTACAGAAACCATTCAACGAGCCAGACCAGAAAATGACAGATCTATTTCAGAAAGATATTAACTGAGTGCCTTAGTCTCCTTATAATGTTCAGTAAACCAAATTACAGCAGGCATTAAACCCTCATTTTCGTTAGTTCAGAGCTATTAACTTCAATAAACTAGCTGATCCCTATATCACAGGTATCCGATTGAAAATGAAGAGCTTCAACATCACAAAACTGATTAACACTGAAATTAACATATAAACATATCCTAATAAAAACAAGGGAGGAAGAAAGAAGTAGAAAACTAAAATATAAGAAAAGAAAATGAAATGAAATGAAAGGCAGATCCATATTTTTTCAGGTAAATTATACAATAGACCACTAAATCGTGATTTATAAATAAATTTGAAAGAAATAAGAGGAAGAAAACAACGGAGCGTACTTGAGAACCATGTCTGCTGCTCTGCTAACTGCTCTTGTTACCAAGAAACCCTATCGACGTTGTTATTTATATATAGTTGAAAAATGCCGAAATCAATTAATAAACGGGCCGAGTGTTTCGGCCTGTATAGTGTTGCCATTTTTTTTTAATTTATTTAAAACCTCATATTAACTTTTTTATATTATTTTGTATGCTGTTTTACAATAATTTTTTATAATAATTAATATTTGGTTTATTTATCAATTAATTCGGGATAAGTTATCTATTTGGTACCTAAACTATTAATTTTAGTTCGTTTTAATATTTAAACTTTTTTAATTTTTTTAAAATCATACATAATATTTAGTTTTCATTTCATTTTAGTACCCCGCCATTAAAAATTTAACGTGTTTACTATCTAAATTATCAATTTTAGTTCGTTTTAATAGAAACTTCCAATTTTTTTCAAAACTTGATGCTAAATTTTGAACGAGTGTACTAAAATTAAACAAAGACTAAAATTTTTAACTAAAGTGTATAAAATGAAAAAAATAACTAAACTTAGGTATAATTATGAAAAAATTGAAAGTTTAGGTAATAAAATATATCAAAACTGATAGTTTAGTACTAAATATGTAATTTACCCATAGTTAATCCGCAAAAAAATCCATATTTAGTTAATCCTTTCAATCAGTGTTTTGAAAACTGGACCGAATCGGTCGGTTCAACCGGGAATCGATGTCTGGTCCGATTCATTCTACACCGGTTAAACCGCTACTAGTGAACCGGAAGGAACCGCTGAACCGGCTGTGAACTGTTCGAACCAGACCAGACCATGAACCGGTTGAAAACCGATATTCTGTTTTTTTTTCTAAAAAAAATTAAATCAAACGGCGTCGTTTGTTAAACGAGAAGAGTCGAACTCGAGTATTGCTGAGCTCGACTCGAACTCGAAAACTTTAAAAGTAAGCTCAACTCGACTAAAAAACTCACGAGCTACAAATTATCTAGTTCAACTCGAACTCGAAATATAATATTGAAACTTGAACTCAAAAAGGCTCGAACTCAAAAAAAAAATAGAAACTAGATTGAAGCCTGAAATCGAGCTCGATTGAAACGAAAGAATAGTTTGCTCTGTGCTCACCAAAAGACTCTATGATTTTGAATGTCAAATTACCTCTATTATTTATAGAAGTCAGTTGAGATGCTATTCTATGTTTCTTAGCCATATGAGATTGTTTTGTTTTCATATTTTTACTCTTTAGACTTTTGTGATGTTCTTCTATGTTTCTTAGCCATGTAAGATTTTTTTCTAAAAATTAAACAAAAAAATATAGTTTGTTATGATTTTTTTAACCCCAAATTTATTTTTTGATTATAATTATATAATTATATTTATTATTTAATATGTTTTACCTTAAATATTATGTTGTAGTTGAATTGAATCATTTTGTTTCACTTGATTTTATAGTTTTTAACTTATATATTTTATTACTTACTTTGAATATGACTTTTGATATAAAAAACTGTTTTTTATTAAATGTTTTTGGTATTTTTTATTTAACTTTTTTAAATAATTAATTAATTATGACGTCGTCCGGTTCTTTCGACCGATCTGACCGGTTGAACCAGTAAACCGGTAGCACTGCGGTTCGCTGACCGGTTCGATTCTGAAAACCATACTTTCAATTCAATTTTTCTTCATAAACAACTTTAATACACCATCTTGTAAAATCATTACGTAAATGTTAATCCAGAAACAACTGTTCTGGCCATAAACAGCCAAGATTTCAATTGACAGCAACTCCAGCAGAAAGGAAATTGGGGAGAAGGGTATCTTGGCCAGACATTTTAGCATTTGAGAGCTCGAGATCCTCCATGGCTTCCTCCACTTTGGCTGCCAGTGCTTCTGGGGACTCTTATAGAAGGAGCAGTTCAGAGTTGTCCATCTCTAGAAGTATTCCGGTTATCTTTTGCACCAGATCAGGCTGTAGACAAGAGAAAACAAAGAGAGAAACATGTTAGCTTTGGAAGTATTCGTGTTCGATAATCGTAATCGTATCTCGATATACATGTTCAGGGAGGATTCTCCATGTTCAGGGACATAAAACGAAGATTCGCATGTTGGATTGTGTCAAGTAATTGTCTATGTTCCATTACTCCTGAAGTGTTCTAGGCTATGGAAATTACCTGGTGCTTGTGAACAAGGGAATAAAGTGGTTCACCAAGTATTGTTTTTTGCTGCTCGGGTGAAGCCGCTGAAAGCATGCTACTCAGCATGTCACTCTCTTGTGTCAAAGCTGAAACAGAGTTCGAACCACCTGGTGCGGCATCGGAGCCTTTGTTCACCTCTCGAGCTTGACCGTTTGGTACATATTTAGCTTGCCCAGTCCGCTGCAAAATGTAGAGTCAAACCAACGTAGACTTAAAAATAAATAACAAGTGAATCCATGTAAGAGGGAGATGGAGAGGGGAGAAAGTTCAACCTGTTGGTTACTTTGATCTTCCGAAGAGTTCACTGCCTGAGTCAGCTGTTGCGATTGAGGCATGAATGTGACGGGGCGAGAACCACCCTGCATAAGAGCAGAACCGTTCATCCAAATCCGGTTTGCCCTGGTTTGTCTTGGAGCAGTAGGAAACTACGATATAACATAAATGTACTCATATATCTTTAGTCATAAAGTAGTTTGTGCCTCTAATGTAGTTGTATAGGAACCTTGAATGAATACATACCATGGGCAGTGATGGTTGAAAGACTGGTCTGGATGGTAATGCAAAGCCATTGCCCCTCCATCCTGGCCAGAACCTTAAAGGTTGATACATCATTCCTGGCCGCGAAGGTACTTGCGAAACAATGCCGGTCGGAGAGGTGTTGTAAAGCTGAGGATATCCTCCAGCGAGAATAGCTGTGGAAGGCCCTGCTAATCCGGCCATACGCTGCACATACTGAAGTTGCAAATGTGCTTGTCTATCCTCCTTCCTTTGGGCAATCACAACATACAGCGGCTTCCGGTGGAAAATATATCCTAAAAGATATCCGGGACAAAGATCATTCACAAATTCAGTAAGGCATGAAACTCGAGATGCAAGTCACAAGTGAATAACTTCCCAAATGATTATAGAAATTTGTTAACTTCCCATGGAACGTGCCGACGGCTTTAGCGGCATCCTCCGGAGCAGAGAAACATACAAATCCAAACCCCTTGCTTATTCCTTTGTCATCTCGCATAAGTTTTGAAGAAGTAATCGTACCGCATGGACTAAAAAGGTCTCTCAGCTCGTCGTCAATGTTCTTCACATAAACATTTGAAGCCTGTAATTTAGAGAGATAGAAAATGGTGAAAGGAATAAACACAAGTAATGATCATGTAGAGAAATGAGCTCAGGCAAAGCTTACTTTATATTTCATGATCTGCTCCTTCCGTAGTTCCTCGAACTGATTACGTAATATTTGCTCGCGTTCCGCTTTCTTTCATGTAGAGAACTATTGAGTTTGCATGATTGCCGGATATGCGTAAAACGAAGAGTTGGTAAAACATTTTAAAAGAAACCCTACCAAGTTTTGATCCATTCATCGACTCCATTGCCCTCTTGGCATCATCGGGACATTCGAAGTTCACAAAACCGAAACCTCTCGAGGCAACGACACTTGTCTTGGTGCTAGTTGTTATCGCCTATATTTTGTGAAAATATAGGTGAAAATAATTAACCCTAGCGCTTTGCTTTCTTATTTTCTCTGTCTTGGTCCTTTTCTTCCTTTCATTAGCAGGCAACGATACCTGTCTTGATGCTAGTTGTTATCGTCGATATTTTCTTTTTATTTTTCATCTTTGTTTTTAATAATTCTGACTTTATTGCACGAATTTCTCTGATTTCATAATATGTTTATTCTCTGTTTTTTGACACCTTGTTTTATTTTATTTTTCCATCATTTGTCGTTTATTTTCTCTCAGAGTTCAATTTAACGTCGCATGACTGATCAAGATAATACTCATTTGTTATCTCACTGATATTCCCTATTTTAGATCCTCGAATTGGATTTGGATACGTAACATGCGATCGTAAATAATTATATGGTGCTTAGCCTCCTAAATTCTTTTGGCTTGCTCTGTGTTATATTTGTTGTTCCTTGTTGGCATCATGATGGGGTTGCACTTTAGCTAACCTTTAGAACCGTTTAGACTGGCATGCATACGGCGAGAAAATCATGCTCGTCGTTACTTTGAATTTCATCGTTTTCGTCGGTTTCTTACTCGTCCGGAATAAACTTTTTTATCGGATAACAGATGAACTCCGCAAGGAGACTATGCAGCCTGCTAGCGAGTTCTTATTCCACAGAGTATCATGATAATGCAACAAATTTCAGAGATATGTGCACAAGGAGACAACTTCCCAGTTATATGTTTTCAATAAACAGGGAACAATCTGGATAAAGAACCACAAATCTTGGAGCTAAGGAACCAGGTGAGATTTCTGAGCATCTAACAATCATTCTTCTTTCGTGTGATTGCAGTGCAGAATTATCCGAACGACTGAATTGGCGGCGGCTCAGGAAAAACTAAACGAGCTCGAGAGGCAGAAAGAAGAAACTCTGAAGTTCTACTCCCGTGCATCGTTTATGCATAGGCTTCAAGGTACATATTAATAGTATATTAGCTACGTTATACGGATTTAGATACGAGTACTCGAAGATAGTTTCACTTCCTTGTAGATGCAATGATATCGGGACCTTTGTGCAGAAGTACAAGAAGCTCCGGACTAGTTACCACCGGCGAGATCTCATTCTTCTCGCAGCTAAAACATCTCCGGTGGGATGACGAAAACGACCCGAGATAGTTGTTGATTGTATATATATATATATGCCTTCATATTGATAAGACTGCAACTTGCTGCTTGGTGTATGATGATGAAATCCATATAAGACTGTTACTCGTGTTCATATGAATTAAGAGTTGGTTCGAGTCACCTCTTTAGTTCGTCGAAGCACAAAGTGAATCAACATTTTCATGTTGTTGTACGAAGATCCACCTTCTTCAATGGCCTTATTTGCAATCTCCCCAAGCCGTTTAGCCTTTCTCCTCCTTTCTTCACCAACATCACTTTCCTCCATTACTTCCTCGATCGCCATTTTCACTCGTTCACGTTTCATCAATAACCCGAACTCCTCCTCCAATCCCCACGTGACAGCCGCCTCGATGCCGATGCTAACCCCGATCCCGAGCACATCGACGAGCAATCTCTCGTTGATAAACTGCTCGGCGAACAATGGACACGCGATGACCGGCACGCCGGCCGAAACCGCTTCCATGGTCGAATTCCATCCGCAATGCGTCAAAAAAGCTCCAATGGAGGGGTGTGATAAGATCCACAACTGTGGGGACCAACCACGGATTATAAGCCCTCGATCTTTGATACGATCTTCGAATTTTTCTTCTGAAATCCAGTTTTCTAATTCATTTGATTTCGGGTTTTCTCTTATGACCCAAATAAATGGCTTCTTCGATGATTCCAGGCTTAACCCGAGCTCCAAAAGCTGCTGTTTTGTGAGACCCGATATGCTTCCGAGGCAAGCGTAAATCACTGAGCCAGGTTGCTTCGAGTCAAGCCATGTCTTCAGTTTCAAATTCAAACGACACCGTTTTGAGCCTCTTTCTGCTTTGTCGGAGCTCAGCTTGTTGATGGCTGAAACCGGGCCGATACAATACACTTTATCGTCGCCGTTAACTCGTTTATACTCTTTAACGTATTCGGTTTCGAGTTCTTCGAAAGTATTGACGACGATTCCGTCGCTAATATTCTCCGTCGCTCGAATGTTATCTCTTACATTCTTCAAATCGTTCGAGCCTTGGCTTAAATTTTCAGGCAACTGAGCTTTTTTTAATTTGATTTCGTGAGGCAAACCGGGGATTACAAAGGAATCAAACTCCGAAGCCGATTCATGGATCTTCGAGAGCTCTATATTATGAGTACACGTGAACGGAAAACAACCCATTCCGTCGAAGAAAATTCTGGGGATGTTGAAACTTTGAGCTGTTTTGACCGTCCACGGCAGATTCTTACCGGAGACGATGCAACTCGGTCTGGGTCTTAACCCGCTGAGAAGCTCTTCGAATCGTTGTTGTAATTCGGCGGCCGCCATGAAGAAGTTCTTGATTAAGTCGCGGGAAGGGAGCTGGTCCATGTTCTCGCAGCCTTCCGGTAAGCCGAAATCGGTTGTCGGGAACTGGATGTGGAGGAGGCGGATCCGGAAGCCGGAGGCGACGGCACGTTCGATGACGGAGGCAAAACGGAGGGAATTGAGAGGTGTGGTGACGATCGAAACGGTGACGCCGTGAATGGCTAAGAGGCGAGCCATGTCGGCCATTGGTAAAAGGTGGCCGGGGGACATTAAAGGAATCAAAACGAAATGAAGCTCTGATAATTCCATAGTGAGAAATTGGGTAATCGAGCAATTGATCGGATATGTATTAAGTGTTTAAATAAACATACAAAAATTAATTCCAGATATTATTTTAACACAATTATATGCTTTATAATAATTGTAATACCATTAATTATTCGCTCTTTCTTTGTTTGAAGTAATTGATAGGTGGTGTTTACGCGATTAATTTGATCAACGATCAAACTGAATTATCATTAATTTAATTAACTGAATTTTTTCTTTAACTGTTCATTGAACAAAACTTTTTGAAAATAATAATCGGAATAAAGTTCGATTATTTTGGTCGGTTAGTTGAATTAACCATTTTTTTTATAATTTTCTGTAATTATTAATTTGAATATAATAGAACTATTTTTATTTTGGTTGAAATTTAATTAAGTGTTAATAAATTAATGAGTCTAGTGTGATTAAAAAATAATTTGGTCTTAATTTTTAATTTGAGCTTAAAATATATAATTAATATATATAATATTTAATAATTTTGGTTAATTCAATAAATTCGGTTAATTAACCGATTTTGAACTAAATTAACCGTTAACCGAATATTAAAAAAATATTAATAAGTCCATGAAATAATTCGATGACTGACTGAATTAAATGAACTAATTTAATTCACTTGGTTAATTATTTTAAAATAAAAAATGAACTCCCCTAATAATTGATCAATCTTTTAAATTTTGTAAAATTTAATACACGTTATGTGGAATTTATATTTTAAATAATTTATGTGGTGATCGGATAAATAACAAGAACTACTGGTGAAATTATCTTTTGGCATTTGTGGAAAGCACTATAGGTGGACAGTAATGCATGTGCAAATTTTATCTACTGCTCAACTTTTATTATACAATTTCACTAATTTTAAGAGCCATATATATTTATACATTACAAAATTCATAATTTTTATTTAATTTTTGAATTGCTGAATGAGTAAAATTAAATGATTAAGATAAAAAAGTTTAAATTATATATATTATATTTTTGTTCGTAGAAATTTCCTTATTAAAATTTTTAGTATATAAACTATCAATTTTAGTATGCTTTAATAATTAAACTTTTAATTTTTTAAAATTATATCTAAAAATTTTGTTTTTGTTTTATTTTAGCACTATGTCGTTAAAAATTTAATGTTTTTAATAACTAAACTATCAGTTTTGATCTGTTTTAGTACCAAAATGTTTAATATTTTCAAAACTTAACGTTAAATTTTGAACAAGAGAACTAAAATGAAACAAAAACTAAAGTTTTTAACAACGGGTATTAAAATGAAACAAAAATTAAACTTTAAATATTGTTTTGAAAAATTAAAAGTTTAAGTACTAAAACGGACCAAAACTGATAATTTGAGTACTAAACGCATAATTTACCCTAAATTTTCATTATAATAATTGTTTTTATTATTAAAGACTTTTAAATACTGATTCACCGTTGAAGAGGACATATAATACCCCTGAAGTTTGATGAATAAAGATGTTAAAAGTCTTTCAGCTTGGATGCAAATGAGATTTGAGCGAAGCAAGTGACAAGAACATGCATCCTCCTGAATGTAGTTCAACGCTACCATAGAAACAACGGCGACGACGAGAACATGTCATGTAATAAAGTCCACGATTCCGGTTGTAGCCATGACTTCAGTTGCACCTGCCGCCACAAAGACGAGGTCAAATGGTATGCCGGGATCAATAATACCCGTATCTGTCACATAAAACAGAATTTTGGTTTCTATGGAAGACTCAAAAGGGTACATAGAACCTTATGTTAGCTCCTAGCTCATCGATAAATTTGATCTTACACCGGTTAGAATCCTCCCAACAAGAGGCTGTTGACGAAAACGGGTAAAGAAAACGAAAGAACACGAGAATTTTACGAGGTTCGGCAATGTGCTTACGTCCTCGGTGCCTAGGCGGCGCTAGAAGTTTTTTTTCAAAGAAAAGCATTGGAGCTTAGAAGATGGCATTGGTGAGACCAGAGAAGATGTCATAGCAGAAAAACCGCAGAACTGAAGCAGAAACGGCATTGCTACCACCAAGCCTTGAACATGTTCATTTTCTGCAGTCCACATTTCGCAAGAGAATCGGCCAAACCGTTAAAAAATGCAGCAGAAAACAACTGCAATCCATCGACTGTCATTCCGAATATTGTTAGGCAGTGGTACCTTGATTGAAGAGCCAACTCTCTGATGGCTGAACCTTTCTGGGATTTCACTTCCAGGTATAGCAATATCAAATACATTTCTTGAACTTGCAAATACCTTGAGATGTTTCTTCAGCAATGTTAATACATTGATATTCTCAGCCAATCTGTAGCAGTGGAGACCACTAAACTGCGCCCAACTCACTGAATTGCATGCTTTTGACGGATTTGAAACTAGTTCCAGAGAAGCAAAACCATTGGCGTACACACTTCCTATAGTCGTAAGTTCAGGCAAATTATTTAAGCTCCTTACAATTTCTCAATTCGAGAAATACAAGCTTGAAAAGTCGAGCAAGACAGACAGGTATTCTGATGAAATTACCACTAAGATCAAGATGCGTCAAAGAGGATAGACTAGAAATATCACCTTCACAAAGATTGCACAAGTTGTTATTCGACAATCGAAGAATTGAAGCTTGGAAAGTCGAGTAAGAAATGAAGGCATGCTGAAGAAATTGTTACCACTAAGGTCAAGTTCTTCCAAAGAGGACAGACGAGAAATATCACTAGGGATATCTCCTTCACAAAGTTTGCAGTTCCTTAGTTTCAGCTCTCTTAATGAACTCAAACCTGACAACGAATGTAACATCAGTGGCATAGACTCTATTCTTCGTCTTCGGAACACCTGGAACAGAGAAGGTAGATTTGGGCCTTTGCGCTTATTCAAAAACAGAACTTTATACAACTGGAAAGATGAAGAGTTTTTAGACGCTTACACCCACCTATGAGACATGGCAAACTTTTTAATCTATAACAACCAGAAAAATTTAAGAGTTTTCAGACAACCCATTTTGCCATCTCTGGAAAGCTTTGACTCATTGAGCAACCTGAATTCTTTCAGGTTTCAAGAGATTCCATTCCAATTTTGGTAGGAAGATTCCTACAACTTTTGCAGCCTCTTAGATTAAAAAATTTAAGCCTCCTAAGAACTCCAACGGACGAATGAACATATTATTCTTATACAACCCTCAAATATAAAAATTTCAAGATTTGGGGCTGATGCCAAGTCTGGCGTCTTGATCAGGTTTTCGGATCTTATAAGGCTGAGCACTTCCAACTTATACAGGGGCTGTTGAACACAATAATAAAACAGAGATGGAAGAGAAAACATAAGAAAGCTCATTTTTGTTGCTATGTTTCTATATTAAATCAAATTCTAATCTTTCATCCCAAAACAAGGATCAGACGAATTATTCCCTTCCAGAGTTGTTCAATGACACTGTAGGGTAACAGAATTCCAACAAGGTTATCTGGTTGGAAGCAATAACAATATTAGCGATATACATCAATACCTCTGTATGTGTTTTCTTACCTTTTATTGTCAATGATCATGCTTCAATCGCTTCCGTGGACTAAAAACATATCATACAAGTCTATCAATATTGAATCCATATCACTTCTTAAAAATGACTAAATGCTTGATGAGATATAATTATATTTTATGTACACACACATACATACAGTGTTTTTCGTTAGCGTATGATAGACATGTCTTTCCTCTGACAATCTTCTAAGTTTTCCAGGTTCCTCAATAGATTTTTCCCTGACAATTTTCCTTCCCATTTCTAGTAGCAAGACTGCATCCACAAATATTTGTTGTGTTTATAAACTTTCAAAAGTGATTTCTTGATGAGAACATCGATTCCAATATCTGGGAAAAACTCACAACCATCCGATACTTGCATTACAAAATCTTTCTCCTTCCCATTGAAGAGGCATGCTATATCTATAAATATATTCTCCTCCGTTTCTTCCAATCCATCAAAGTTTATTCAGAGTCTGTCGAGAATTTCTATGTTAGATAGGACCTGCATTTCAAAATCCAATGATCATCAGACTGCAAAACATTATATTTATGTATGCATATATAACTCAAGTAAAGATTGTAAATGTTTGTATGCACTTACTGCTTTCGTAGTCAACTTAATATTCGGAAGAAACCAACTCATATTTTGAAACATGTTGAAAGTGGTGAATAAAATTGACTGTAACTAATGCTTCTTCTCCGTTCGTTCCATCATAAAATTGAAAAACTTCTCCATCCTTTTTGGTTGTGGCACAGCCTCGGTTTCTTCGTAAACATTACGTTTTCGCTTTATAAGGGGACCATTAACTATTGATCTATCTGCGATGGAGTGCTCATTGGCATCTTCCAAATCCTTCTGATACACTACTCGAATCCCACATTTCTTCACCTTAACACTTCTGTGAGAATCATCAGATGTGATTGAAAATTGAAGTTCATCAAATTCCTGATTTGAGCAATCCGATGACGAATTCTCGGTTTCACTTTCATCACATTTATCCTCTAAGGAAAATGGATAGAATTTGTCACACGACAAATAGCAAAAATAAATGTGATCCTTTATTATGGGCTGGTTATATTCTTTAGAGAAAATCCAGCCGCTCCCCGTGACGCATCGAGGATTTCTACCCCGAAAAAAAGATCCATCAGAACCAGCTTGTCCAGAATTCCTATGATGGATAACAGCTTCACATGTGAGTTCCTCATCCCTTGATGCATCATCATTGACAAAAATGCAGCAGAAAGCAACTCCGATCCATTGGCTATCATTCTGAATATTGTTAGGCAGTGGTATCTTGATTGAAGAGCCAACTGCTTGATGGCTGAACCATTTTGCGATTTCACTTCCAGGTATTACAACATCATAACTTTCTCTTAAATATGCAAATGCCTGCAAAATAAAATGCTGCTTGGTAACTAGTACTATAATTCTTCAAGAATGAGATTCTGTAAATGCAAAAGAATGATAATCGACCTTAAGACGTCGTTTCAGCAATGTTAATTCATTGGTATTCTCAACTAATCTGTAGCAGTGAAGACCATTAAACCGTGTCCAATCCACTGCATAGCAAATTTTTGATGGATTTGCAAACGGTTCTATAGAAGCACCAAGACCATGCAACGATTTAAGCTCCCCGCAATTTGACAATCCAAGATATTGAAGCCTGGAAACTACAGTACCAGACACAGGTATGCTGATGAAATTGTTACCGCCAAGCTCAAGTTTTTCCAGAGAGGATAAACAAGAAATATCACTAGGAATATCTCCTTCATGAAGATTGCAGTTCTTTAGTTTCAGCTCTCTTAATAAACTCAAACCTGACAATGAATGTAACATCAGAGGCACGGACTCGATCCTTCCTCTTTGGAATATCTGGAAAAGAGAAGGTAGATTTGATGGTAACTTAGATGATGGTCCCTCGAGCCTATTCAAAGACAAAACTTTAAGATTTTTAAGTTGAAAAATGAAGGATGACGGTTTTGCTATGGCCGTTTCACTTAAGTCGAGCTCTTCCAACAACTCTAGTTCCCGCAAATTCTCTGGCAAGTTTTCAACTTTAGAACAACCAGAAAGATCAAGAGTTTTTAGACATTTACACCCACCTATGCTGCTTGGGAGACTAATAAGGTTTCTGCAATCTTTTAGGATTAATGTTTCAAGAGATTCTATTCCAACTTTGGTTGGAAGATTCCTAAGACTTGTGCAGCTTCTTAAATTCAAAAGTTTGAGCCTCGAAAGAACTCCGATGGATGGGTGAACATCTACTATTCTTATACAACCCTCCAATATCAAAATTTCCAGATTTGGGGCTTTTGTAAAGTCCGGTGTCTTGATCAGGTTTTCGGACCCTTTGAGGTTGAGCACTTTCAACTTATACAGCGGCTGTTGAAAACAATAATAAATTAGAGAAGATTTAGTTAATCTGGATAAAATAAGTTAGAAAACAAGGGTCACGTGAATTAGTTCTTACTATATTTCCCTTCCATAGTTGTTCAATGCGACTGTATGGTAACAGAAGTGCAACAAGGTTGTCTGGTTGGAAGCTTGAAGGTAAGAATCTTAAAGGATATCTCATCCAATCTAAGAGCCGTAGCTCATTAGGAAGATATTTGAGTTCATCAGAATTTGAGAGGCAAATGACTTTGAGTAATCTCAATTTTTTCATCTTCGAGACAGCATCGACATTCAAATTGAGCATCTTGTTCGATTCCCTGATAGCCATGGGTAAAACAACGAAAATTCAGTTCAAAATATACCAAATCATTTGATACCTAAAAGCAGGGCTGCTCCAGCACTTAATTTATCTATGTTCTGTCGAGCACTCGTATCCCACACATATCCGAATAGAAATTTAGAGATGATTCTTCAAGGACTTTCAAAACACATGGAAACAAACTTCATAAGAACTGAACATGCATACAGTTAGAAAAACATAGCCCTTAAGAAACTAGAACTAATATTCACAGGCACATACATCTGTCTTTAACATTAAAAAACTTTACAGGAGAAATGAGAATTTGAGTATAGCTCAGGGGCCCTAAAGCCACTAAAAAAGTCATAACAATATGAAAGTTGTACATCGATACATGATTATGTATGTTTTCCTACCTTCTAATGTCAACGATCATGCCTTCAATCACCTTCGTAGCCTAAAAGCATTCAAGAATAAGACATAGGAAAACACAAAATAAAATGAGATAATTTCTATGATAAAACTTGTGAAAATTTGCATTATATTTATCATTCTTGTCTTTAACATTAATATAATCTTTTGGTTAAATATAGTAAATAAATCATTAATATAAGATACAAATTCTGTGGAATGACTTACCGTGTCTTTCGTTAGCACATGATAGACATCCTTCTCCTCCCACAATCTACAACGATTTCCAGGTTCCTCAATAGATTTTTCCCGGACAATTTTTCTTCCCATTTCTTGTAGCATGTTATGCATCCACAGTTTGTTGTTTTCATTAATTGTTAGTAGAGACTTCTTAATGAGAACATCGATTCCAATATCCGGGAAAAACTCACAACCATCCAATACATTCATTACAAAATCTTTATCGTCCCCATTGAAGAAGCATGCTATATCTAGAAATATATTCTTCTCCGTTTCTTCCAATCCATCAAAGCTGATTCGAAGTCTGTCGATAATTTCTTTGTTACAATCCTTTTCAAGTCTTTGGATTGCACTTCGCCATTGAGCTACATCTCTACCGCACAGAAAAGAACCTAAAACTTCAAGAGCTAAGGGGAGACCACTGGCATATTTTGCAACATGTTCAGAAAGCTCAGTGAAAACATCATTTGGTACTGTCTCACTAACAAAAGCTTTCAAATTGAAAAGTTGAAGTGCCTCGCTGTCATTCAATGTTGAAGGCTTATACACATCATCAACTCGGTAAGATTGGAGCAAATGTTCATCTCTTGTTGTTACAATGATTCTGCTCCCTAAACCGAACCAATCATGTCTTCCAACCAAGCATTTCAAGTGCTGTAAATTATCCACATCATCAATAACAACAAGGACCTTTTTGTTAGACAACCTATGGCTAATTATGGCATTCCCTTCATGAACATTGAAAAATTCGAAGACTTCACCAGACAAGATCTGGAAAAGAAGTTGTTTCTGGAGAGAAACGAGTCCAAATTTGTCTGAAACTTCTCGAACGTCAGCAATGAAGCATTTAACTTCAAAATGAGATGACATTTGGTCGTATACAACTCTTGCGAGGGTTGTTTTACCGATGCCACCCATTCCGTAAATTCCTATGATGCGGGTGTCATCTTCCCCAATCTCTATTTTCGAATACAACTCCTCCAGGCGTGAACTAATTCCAACCAACTCACCATGAAAAAGCGGATATGTTTGACATAGTTTTGCTGATATTTTTCTAACAATGTCTCCAATAAATTCCGGTTCATGCCTACAAACAAATATAATTTAGTTGTTTTGAATAAATAGTTTGCTAATAACTTTTGGAAGAGTTTTTTTTTTTTCCATTTTCATTTCAATGAATCATGAAAGATAGTATAGTATGGGAGCAAACAAAAAAGCAACAATTAGACGGATTGATGCCATCCCATCATGTTTGTCACTAGAGAAGAAAGTACAGAGAAGAAAAGAATGAATTACCTGTTATTTAGATGCCATCCCTTGATGTTAGTCACTTGAGTCAAAGCATTTCGCCACCTTAAGATCTTGTCTGTATCTTTCTTGAATCTATGTTCGTGTTTAAGAAAGGCTTCCTCAACTTTCTCTTTCTGTTTTCTTAAACCAGATGGATCCACATTGTAGAAAATTGGAAATACTTTATGTCCCTTCTCGTTTTTTTGTTTAACAATCTCAGCAAGCTCCTCCAAGCACCAACCTGAAAAAAGCATAGGTTTCCGAGAAAACAATTACCGAGCACCACGATTGTTGAATGGCTCTTAAGAGTTGTGGCGGGATCTCTTCGCCAGCGTCCAGCTTCAGGTCATCCCTGAAAGTGACGATTCCACTCCGTTTCAGAGAATCATAGAGATGACCTGCGAAGTTTTTGCGGGTATCTTCACCTATAAAACTCAAGAAAACATCGTATTTCTTTCTAGAAATAGATGAGGAAGTTGAAGGTAACGATGACATGAAGTATGAGAAAGAAAAATATATCTGAAGATGGAGTAGAAAATCAGAAAACAGATCTCCAAATACCCAAAAAGAAACTATAAATAATCAAAGTATAGGAGCATATGAAAAGAGAAGAACAGATCAAATTTCCAAGGAAACAAACCAGAAATGATGTATTTGAGATGGCTTTGTACATCAGCAAGAGGTAGAGTTCAAAAATAAATAGTTCTCCAGCTCAGAAATTATCCCATTCTATCTCCCGTCAAATGCTTTAGTTAGTTGCGTTTACTTGGAATTGTCAAGTAAATACTCTCAGAAGGGTCAAAATTATGGAGCCCCACATTTGACAAGTATTGCATACATTATGAACATCAGTTACCCTGTAATTTCTTCTGTTCAAGCCATGACCAACAGCTGAAAACACATTGAAACCTTAAAAAATGGTCGACATTCAAATCGAATTTGCACTTAAGGTTCGAAGCTACTCCACAACTCACACTGGTTTCCCTAATAGTAAAATGATTGTGAATTTCAAAACAATAAGCAAATCTAATTAGCTTTACCTTGATGCTAGAATAATGATTCCATCAGTGCTTCCGAGGAATTGTCAAATATCATAGATTTAAAAAACAATAATGTATTGACTTACCTCATGGTTTTACATTCTCGCTGACATCATCATCTTCTACTTTGCTCCCATCAAAACATATACCGTCGTCGTCGTCGTATTCGGCATTTTCCCTTTTTATGACCGGCCTTGTCCCACAAGGAAACGGACGACTTACGGTTGCATTGGTACCGTTGATATTTATCCTATCCTATGTCCCGTCAATTGCTTTAGTTTACTTGGGGTTGGTTTCTATGGTCTACATTCTTCCCAGCACTTTCTCCATTTCACATTTATCAATTTATATATTCAGAAAACATTAATTTCTTGTATAAGAAAATGATAGAGGAGACTTGTCAACTAAATGCTGGATTCCACGGAGGAAAAATGGAAAATAGTTCCGGCCATGACCAACTAGTACCTACAGCTGAAAAACATAATTAAACCTTCAAAATGCTCAGAATTTGAATCGAATTCGCACTTAAATTTCGAACCTACTCCATAACAACTCAGTGTGTTGAGATCAGAAATGAATGATGTCTAACAATCTACCCTGGTTTTCCTAATAATAAAATGATTCTGAATCACAAAAAACAGTAAGCAAATCTCATTAGTTTTACACGGTTAATAGGAATAATGATTCGATTCGTGCTTCTTCCCGGAAATTGTTAAATTGTAGTTGTATATTTCTTCTCCACTTTCTTCTTCTCCAGTGTTTTCACTGCACTTACTGTAAGCTACCATAAGCACTGTTTCGATCTTAGGGTTACAAATAAAACCATCTTTCAAAGCTTGAATAACAATTGCAAAGATATATGGATTGGGTTTTATGCCTTCCATTTGCATTGCAAGAACAATTCCAAAACTTGCTCGTTCATTCCATTCTGAACATAGCCACCAAGCAATGAAGTCCAAGAAACCATATTTCTTTCCCCTAAATAATCAAAAACTCTCCTACCATCTTTAACATTCTGTCCTCATATACATATCTAAAAGGTAAGTGCAATTTGTTGGTAAGATAACATGTATCTAACATTACACCTTGAATCGTTGATGGTCCCGAGAGTCTCTTGGTCGGGTCTTCTCTCACAATACCTCACAGAATTTAAAGTTATATTAGAATTTTTCATGTATTCCCGACTGAAAAGTGGCACTGGAAATGAGAAGAGAGAAGCGAAAAAGGAAATTTGAGATCGAAAAGGAATTTGGGGTTTAGAATGAAATTGAAGACTGTGTTGTAAGTTTTAAAAGTTGGGGGACTTAAATGCAAGCGTCAAGCGTCTGAAAAGTTCAATGATCATATTGCAAACGGACTAAATGTTGGAGGAATGCCATGTCATCATCTTCTAACGACATTGTAACGGCATCAAACGGACGGTTACATCGGGGACCATATTACAAACAGACTAAATATTAAAGGACTGTATTATAAGTTTTAAAAGTTGAGAGACCTAAATGCAATTATTAGAAAAATTCAGTGATCATTACTATTCTTTACCCTTCCTTTAATTACTTGAGGCATTTCGTTTAGTTTCGTATCTTTTTGCTTAAATGGTGAAACCTGAAATGGGGATTGGCCTGTAAATAAAATCCCTCAGCAATGAATCACTTCATCTCCTTAGCTCTACTCTTCGGCAGCTGGCCATTTCCCCTCTTCTCTTCGATACGTTAAAGTAGTAAAGTGCTTCTACCGAATCTACTAATTCATCTATGAACTATCATTATCTTGCTTTGGGTTTTGCATAATTTCCTTTATTGGTAGTTCCTTTAATTACTTGAGGCATTTCGTTTAGTTTCGTATCTTTTTGTTTAATTTGTTAGATTATGGTTTTATATCCTTTGTTTTTGAAAGATAATTCGGTGCCGTTGACTTGCTTGTTCCTTTCTATTTTTGATCTGGATCGGAAGCAATCGTTTGTGATTTTGATTGTTTTCAGTTGAATGATTTAGAAATTTCCAGATCCGTTCGAGATGAGCCGCGTTGACGATTACTG